CAAATATTATCGTGATTTAAATGAAAAAATACATTCACGCAGTAGATTAAGAGCGATTCAAAACAACTAACTTAATCTTAGATAATACCAACGTCCTTCATTTGACCATAAAATTTAATCAGCATAAAAAATTGGAAATGTAACCATTATTATTGATTTTATGATTTTATTCATAGATTATTAAAATAAATTTACAAGAAATTTACAGAAATAATCCGATACAGTGTGAATTCTTTTAAAAAAGTACCTACTTTAGAATGTATTTTAGAAGAATCATTCTGTAATTATTAATTTTACGATCTAAATACCAGCCTAATCTAATTGAAAGTGTTGGTTAAATAGGGATATATCTAGGCAAACAAATAGGGATATATCTAGTTCAAAAATTGTGTGATGCGTAGAGGATAATAAGAACACAGCTTTACTTCGCGTTAGTACACATAACATTAAGGTTATGTCATAAGAAAAGCCATAGAATGTTGTACCAATGCCCCTATATTTATTAGCCTGGAATTACAACGCAATTTTTCGGTTACTCTTTTTAAATTTACTTTTTGTTAACTCATTGGATAAATCCATTAAAGAAAAATAGTTGTCAGTAGTAATATTTCGGATATTTTTTGACTTATTCTTGCATCACCTCTATAAAAATAATTCCAAGTCTCTTAATTTTAGGTAAGCATCATTTAAATTACTTACAGTTGTAGTTCTAGATCATCGTTACTCTTATTGTTGAAAACATTGGACACACGTTCGTTTTCTTTAAAATGACTAACACAGCTGGCTACGTCCGGTTGACAATGGCAAATCATCTTCCAGTCTTCCGTCTTGTAGCTCCACCTTTTCCACAATATGATCTCCATTACTATCCTTTTTTTAAACCGCACCTAATGAAACACTTTTCAATCGTTTTTGTTGGAACGTCTTCCCATGTTGCCACAATCCAAATTAGGACGTTGGCTATCGTTATGAACTTCTCCACTATTTTCCAGTTCATCCGTTGATAAAGAACATTCTGTAGATGATAATATTCTTCTCATTAAAAACTTTCTAAGGAGGGATTTATAGTTTTTAATTATTCCTTGGTCTAACGGTTGAGAATGTGCTGGAGTATTAGGTGGCAAAATATTAGCGATATGCCAAATAAATGAGTATACGGATTGGATGTTGCATTGTTTAGGAATAAGAGAATTGTTCTTTTTTGGTGTCACATTTTTCTGTCAAATTTGTGCAGCTAATCTCGCATGATATATCTGGTCATTCAGGACTTCTTGTTGTAGTCTCAGTGACTTGGAGTTTATCAACATAAAATGTTTTAAAACATGGAGTATTTTTACTTTTACCAATCACCAAACGTTTTTCTTTTTTCCCACTTTAATTTGCACGAAATAATACGGTTATCCTCTCCTTGGCAGATTTACCCCAGTGCACTTTTCATTACGAAATGTAAAAGTTTTACTTGGTATGGCTCGATAATACAGACCACTCTCGTCAGCGTTATAAATATCTTCATCTTCACGTTCACTCTGAAACGTCGTCAAGGTTAAGATTTGCAGCTTTTCCAGAAATTGCGCTAACTTTAATGTTATATCCTCAGCAACACTTGTCAAGCCAACCATTGGAAGCTTTAAAATTCAAATTGAGTTCTAAAACTCTAAAGCTCTTTCTTTTATTATCGGTTTAGATAACGGAACTGTTCTTACTTCTTATTTTACAAAACCAATCGTACTCTACAGTATCGATGGTAATACCTTTAGGTATAATACTCTTTTTTTTTGTTGAACTCGAACACTGTAATCATTTTTTCCAGATGCTGTCCCCGATATTTTTTTTACCCTAAAAACTTAGTTTTAGTGGCTGTGTACAAAGGATGAATATATTTTAAAATGGCTTTTTCCAAATCACACTGGATGTACCTAAAGCACCTAGTTTTATGACCATAACTTCCTACTTGTATAATTAGTTTTATGGCTATAATAAGTTATGTACATATTTGTATTTCCGGAGCTCCAATTATAATCTTTTATTCGCCTTTACCTGACTGTTCATTGTTGGACTAAAGTTACAACAATTTCTTAAAAAAACTATAAATATATCGTGTATAAATCGGCATCAATCGAGTGTTATGACTTCATTTCAGCATCCCTGCTTCGTCAGATACTCGAGCTCATAAAAAATCAAACAAGAAAGGTCCGACAAATATCTCCTGCTTTTTTTCCACTCAAAGTAGCTGGTGTACAAAGTTGTCATCTACTATGATGGGCATAAACGAAAAACGATTCGTATAGCGCAAAGAACAGAAACTATATTATTAAATTAGATTTCCAAATTTAGTTGTAATTTAATTTTTCGTTTTACCCCTTCTGTGGCTTAGTGGTAAGAGAACCTGCCTTTAAACCTAAAGGTCGTGAGTTCGAATCCCATCTGGGTGGAGAAATGTTCGTTTATTAAAAATTAATGAATGAAAATAATTTCTATCCATGTGTGATCGGTACTCACCGGAGGGACCGCAGACGTTCGGATACAATTAGCGTCTCTTAGCAAAGACAATGACGTCGACTTTGCTAAGTATCAAGACAATTACTCTACACACATACACACTACACTAGGTACCTAACTGTACCATGCCAATGATCACAGTTGTCAAAACATTAACTCAAAAAAAAAAAAAAAAATATATATATATATATATATATATATATATATATATATATGTATATATATATATATATATATATATATATATATATTATATATTTCTCTTTTTCACGTAGGCTTGTGTCATTACCAATGCATTTACAACTTTAACCATGGTTTAACGTTCATTTTTTTTTAAGTAAGCTCATGTCACTTCCAGACATTCACCATTATGTATACCATTTTTTTAACAATTCGCTAATTGTTAAAAAAAATAGTTAATTATTAAACGGTTTTTCCAACAATACGATGCGTGATATCATTTGTATTTTTGCTCAATCAAATTACAGCGAAACAGCTGTAGCTCAAAGCTCGTACATCCACCTAGTTGAGACGGGGTCTTTAAGTCCTAAAAGTCAACACGAAGCTACAAAAACTATCACTGTAGATAAAGGAGATGAAATTTTGTGTCGTGTTGCAAATATCAGTTCTGTTCACAAAATATTATCCCAGATTTTCTGGATACAATTATTTTTACTGATAAGATAACATTTACCAGACGAGGAATATTTATTTGGAAAAATAATCATTTGTGGGATTCTGAAAATACTCATACTAATAAAGAAACCCATTTTCAGCAAGACTTTAATGTTAAATATTGGTGTGGTGTAATATATGTGACTACTTAAAAAGTCCTTTTTGAATTGCCAACCAATTTAAATGAACCTTTGTATTTATATCTTCTTCAAGAATATTTACACGAATTACTAGAGGATGTTCCTCTCATCTTAAGATAAAACATGTTTTTACACAACGAGGCACCACCATATTATTCCTTAGAAGTTCCTTAATACTTAAATGAACAGTTTTCGCATTGATGGATTTGTCATGGAAGTGCTTTTACTTGACCACCAAGACGTCCTGATTTCAATCCTTTGGATTTTAAATTTGGTCCCAAATAACGGCATTAGGTAATTTACTTTATTTCTTTCTTTCTCCTCTTCCTTTTACCCTATCAGGGTGTCGGATGCATTAGTTTACAAACAAAGAATTACCTATTTTTTAGAATTTCTGCAAAAAATAGAAAAAGCTGCAAATGTGATTAAGAATAATATAGAAGAGATATTGTGCATTAACAGATCTTTGCGAAACCGCAAAGACAAAGAAAACCGCATTATAAAGTGTATGGAAGTAAATTGTGGACATTTTGAATATTTACAGTTTTTTGTTTTTTTACTTTAACTTCTTTAATTTGTTATTGTTCCATATTTAAAGAATAACATTTTTTATTGTAAAATTAAAGTTCATTGGACTTTTAAGAAGCAAATAAATCGATAACTACATTTAAACGGTGAAAAACATAGTGTAGCTAATTCCCTCTATTAGTAATGCTAAATTATAGTCTAAATTATGAATCCTCATGCCAAAAACGTAAACTTGACAATTTTTAAATAGAAATTGTGAAAATATACAAAATTATTGCGAAAAATAAAATCCATATGTAAACTTTCAACACCCTGTTTCTCGGAAACCAGCAATATCTGTATGAGGCATGTTGGCCAAAATCACCATATTTTGAGGTCTAGAACCTAAAAGTCAGAGATTGGATACCCTGTATATATTCACTCTGAAAAGTACAACAAAAAAAAAACCCAATTGTTTTTTTCCATACCTAATTAGCTTTAAAAGTAATCGATTTGATGTAGACGTTACGTTGACAATAGCCTGTTTACCTTATCAATTCCTTTTAACATTCCACTAGTTACTAAATTAGAAGTACTTCCTCTGATTTACATGGTTGTATTTTTCCTATCACGATTCGGTCAGGATCTATTTATTATTCGTGAATAACGCACAACAGATCAAGCACATGTTTGTGTGACGTTCTTGCAATGCACATTACTGCAGACCAGACTATTCTTACTAATAGATTAATGATAGTAATTATTGTTTAAATCATTTTAAGTTCGATGTATTGTCAGGCGTATTTCCTGGTAAGTCTTATGGCCTGAGACTTACAATACATACTGTATTTTGAATTTGTCGTTTAAAAGATTATTGCAAAAGTTTAGATAAGTCTAATACCGGTTGTGTTACCCATCTTAGATATGGTGTCTGATCAGGCCAAGTAACTATTATATCTTTTGAGCATTTCATAAATATCAAGATTAAATTTTTTTTTATTATTTTTTCTTTTTGCTCTATCAAGGACATGCAAAATATAAATAAGAATTTTCAGTTATTTTTTAAAGTTAGTAACATAAAATAGGTAAATAATACCACACTTTTTAACGCTATATTTATTTATGGTGTAGTTACTGAAATATTTGTATATCGTATTCAAATATGCGTTTTCTTTTCAGGACCTCACTCATGGGTATCTAAGTTTCCTGATGCGGCTGGAGAACGTCAGAGTCCAATTGATATTTCCCCAGTTAGCGTAACAAAATTCCATACCGAAGAAAGGCTGCAATGGAAATATGAATCGGAACCATCGACTAAATTGGAAAACACTGGAGCTGCTTGGAAAGTTGACGTTAAAGGCGAAGGATCAGGTAACATGAAGTTTATTTTTTATAGTAGATAGTTTTTTAACGAAAAAGTTTAGTCTAATCTACATAATTACATATTGTGTAACGTGGATGCGTAATAAACATCCCGTACACACATTAAGTTCAAGGCCAGAATCGCTCAGTTCGGAGATGGGGGCGGGGCAAGGTCAATTGTATAGAAATTAAATAATATCTTAAAATCCAAACACAAGTCAGACAATTCGAAATTATAATTTACTATTGGACGCCACCCCTTGTTTATTCTCCTAGGGGACGAGAGAGAATAAAAAAAATAAGATATATAAAAAAATTTACAGCGAAATTACACTTTATTATTTCTCAGCAATAAAAGGAAACATTAAAAGTTATGTTATTTCCAAAGGATACTAAAATACCATTTCATAATTACATTACTATAAACAAAGCAACCTTCTATCTTTTTAAATCAAGAATTGGTTGATAAAAACAAATGAATTTATATATTATTCCCAAATTTCGAAATTCGTTTACATTTAAAAAATTATAGTAGTTATTTATTAACTAGGCATAATAGAAAAGTTAAGTCTTTAAACAAAATTTAAAACATTGCTATATTTTCTTTCTCTTAATCCATAATTATTCTCGCTTTCTCGATAGGGTATAATAAAAAAAGAAAAGGTACAACCTTAATCGTCCAATAGCTGGCAACCATACACAAAGGATATGTTCTGCTTCCTCTCAACCTCCAGAATTTCGTTAAATTAGTTATTAGGGGTCCATTTTTTTTAGATCATAAGGGATTATTGGGCTGCGTTTACGACAGCATAAGACTTCTCAGTTAACTTTGAGTCAAATAAATATAATTAATGATCTTTTATTGTTCCCGGTAAAAGAAGGTCTCCATATAGAGACCACTTCACAAAAACACGTCCTAACAGTTGGATGTTTGTAAGAGAAAAAAGACAGACGCTATCATTTACCGGTTTGAATTGGGGCGTGATTGACAAGTTAATAATCGTTCTCATCTATCGGATAGGTTTAGAATTACAGTAGAGATCTTGAGTCGGCTACCAGTATCCGGCAGATAGATGGGGTTAACAGTTTTATTAAAAAAAATAATCGAATTTAAAATGAATTTACTAAAACTTTTGAAACTGTTACAATTGTAGTATCTGAAATTTACGGTTTTATGTATTTTATTATATATATCCACAGTTTATTAAAAGCTTAAAATAAATAAATAGGCAGCAATAATAAAATGTGAAGAGTACATGAGGAAACAACTAAATAAAATTAAAATTTTTAAAAAATTCTTGAAAATACAAATTTACGAAACAAGAAAAATACAAATTTACCAAACAATAATAAAGATTAATCTATTATATTGGTATGAGACTTAATGAGTAAATTGACAGGAGCTATCGAACATAAACTGCAGACAAACGAGTTGGACGTGCTAAGTTCGACAGGAATTTAACGTACCTACTTGTATAATAAGAGAAGAAGTAAAAAAGAATAATGAGGATATAAGTTTCAATCATTGTGAATATAGAAATAGGTTAACTGATTTGATATGAGCACGTTAAGAGAATTTCCGCTGACAGACTGCCAAAAAAAATTTTACGGTCACCAGAAGAGAGGAAGGAATGATAGTTCTTCTTCTTCTTCCTCTTTATAAACAATTCTGCTTGTTCATTGACCATTAATACCTCTATGGAAGGTTGCCACATTTTTTTAATTTTAGTGTCCATTCATTTATACACTGTACGGTAGATTTTTATCTAATGTCTTTACTTTTCTTTCGATCTCTCAGCATATTTCCTGTAATTCTTCTCAGTACTCTCATCTCTGCCGTTTCCAGTAGCCTTTGTGTTATGGGTGTGTCGGGTCTTTTTTCTGAAACATATGTCCTTATTAGTCTTACACTGGCTTTATAAATTCTTGACTACATCTCTGTGTTAATGTGTCTGGTTCGCCATATAATGTTATTAAGGCATCCTATCAGTCTATTTTCTTTTTGTACTTGATTTCTCACTTCTTTGTCCATATCTCCAGTGCTGAAGAGTGTAATATTCTAAAGTATTTCGAGAATAATAGTTGGATGCAAAATATCCAGAAGCCGATAAGTATCAGAGACTGAGAAGATCACTGAAATAAGAAGGAAATATAAAAACTAAGAATAAAACAGCATTAAACTTTATAAACCGATCTGTTGTTTTAAACAGATATTTGGTAACTAGAAAGTGACTGGAAGACTGTACACTGTATTTTGTTTGTAGCATTAGAGTGGAATTAGACACCATTAGTACACCTATCTACAAAATTATGTGTAACCTATAGATCAAGCAAGTTGTTAAATTGTATATATTATAAAGTATGGGCAAATATAATAAGTAAGAAAAACAAAAAATGTGTTAAGAAAATACTAGGAGACTATCAAAATGGATTTGGACCATGACTATATTTGCTGTACATACTTTGAAACAGATTCTATAAAAAATCGATGTAGTATATGTTGACTTTAAAAGCTTCTTCGGTATGATAAAGAAGGACAAGATAGAAATGCATGAATATAATTACAGATACCAAAGTAACCAAAGAAACTAATACAAATGACACTAGAAAAAACAAATGCGAGGGTGAAGTACCAATAAGAAATAACGGAAAAGTTTAATACAGACCACGGAATAAAGCAGGTGGGTCCTACATCCTTAACATTAATTAACCTGATATATAAGCAATTGCCAAGAACAACAAATATGAACATGAAGTATATATTGATAAATAACATACAAACTGATGTGATAAATTTGTCCCCATGCTGTGGTGCCTGGTGCAAGCCACCTCGATGACGTAGTTATACTGGTTGAGGTACTCTTCTCGGGATCGGTGCACCAGTTCGCCTAAGTCGTCGCCCAGTTCGTCGAGGAATTGTTCTGGGAGCAGGGACTCGGGGTTAATCCTGAGAAGACTGCTATGGTTCTGTTGACTGACCCGGATATGGGCTATCGGACCTACCACAGAGCGTTTATGGTAAAACTTTATTGATTTACAAGTTAGTGAAGTACCAAGAAGTGAGCAACTATCTGGGCATGCAGAAGAGCTTTCGGAGTCAAATGGTGTCTGGTGCTGAATATTTTATATTGGATGTATTAAACCATGATAAAGCCTATGCTGACGTATTCGGCTATTGTGTAGTGGCCCCGGACTAGACTGACTTCATCTAAGACCCAGCTGACTCACCTCTAGCAGTTGGCATGTGTTGGCGTCTCAAGAGCCATGAAGACCACTCCCACAGCGGCTGTTGATACTTTGCTGGATTTAGCTTTTCTACATCTTATTGTAGAGCACGAAGCCATCATGGTAGCCTATCTTTTCAACTGCCCTGGATACTGGTTGGGAATTAATCCTTGGATGTGCATTGTGACATCTGGAGATAGGCCCTCGATTGGTGTTCTGTACTCTCTATGGTACAGAACAGCATGAATGAAACGGGAGTCTGCACTAATCCGTCGAAGCGGGCTCACCTGGTTCACGAATGAGTCCAGAATGGACGAGGGGAAGGTGCTGTAGTATATGGGAGCGGACTCGGATTCTAATCTGTCCAGTTTTTTTGGCTCCCATGCATGTCTTTCAGGCTGAGATCTTTGCAATCCTGGTATTTGCTCAACTCAGGCAGGACCATCTCTATGTGTTCTGACAGTCAAGCAATGCTAAGGGCTTTGGAAGTATCCAAAGTGAGCTATAAGCTAGTTTTTTGGTGCAAGAGAACATTTGCTGATGTTGCGAGAAACAATAGGGTTAACTGATTAGGAGTACCGGAAAGGCGTGAAAGGGAATGAACGGAATGATGCCTCATTCAGTCTGCTGGCGGGACCTGAATCAACCTGTGATTGGAGTGTCTTCATTACTGGACGGGGTAGTCTCAAAGAGTTTCTTCTGCGGAGATTCTAGGACTCCTACGCCAGCTGTAGAGGTATGAGACAGGCTAGTCCTTGGCGGAGTAGTTGGCGGCCGTGCCCGGTACTGGCCTATTAGAGGTGAAAGATCCAGGTGGCTCATGGCCACTGGGCTTTGCCCCGATCTACCGTAACGATAACCAATTTGACGAAGGCAGTTAACGAACTGGAAGCTAAAGCCAAAATAAACGAAAGAGGCTGAATATATGGAATTAACCCAAGAAAATAAACTAACCTGAGATTGACATTTCCAAATTAGAAAAAGGAACGACATTCAACCAGCTGGGATTTGCAAATGGAACAATTGAAAAAGAAAGAGTTTAGGAAAGAACTGTAAAGGGAAAACGAGCAATATAAGAAACGGAACTATGCATAAAAAGAACTAAGCTAGGTTGTTTTGCTAAGCAAACCAATTAAAATAAACATATACAAAACACACGATGAAAACAGCACTATTGAATTTGAAAGTTTAAAACAAGCAAACTTAAAAAGAATAAGTAAAATATTGAAAACCATTCTAGAAATTGAGATGTGCAACAATCTATCGCTTCATTAGACGAAAAAAGATTAAAATGAAACAAAAACGGACAAAGAGCGAAGATATAATAATAATGAAACGCAGAAATAATAAGAAATGAAGAAAATAAGGAAATCAGCCCGGACACACAATAAAGTATAGCTAAAACAGAAAAATAGTACTAATCCACATCAGAATAGGATAACCCGTGAAAAATTGATCTATTGAAATAAGTCAAAACTGTTTTTCCAAGCCTCTTTTACGTCATTAAAACTATCAAAATATTAACTAATTTAATTTATCCAAATAAGTGTGTTGAGGTGTTGTGATTTAACAAAACTTATAAAAATTCAATATTTGTATTTTTTCTTCCAAATGAAAACAAAAGCAATTAACCTTATTTAAGTTCTACAACTATTTTTTTTTTGATAAGTCGAGGTAGTTGATTTAAAGTGAAACGAAAGATATTTACGTTTGGTTTTTTTTTGGTAAAATTTTTTACTTAGTTTTCATTTATTTATTCAAACAAAGCTCGAATAATGACTGTA